CCCCCCCGCCCCCGCCCCCGGCAGGCAGAGCCTGTGGGTCGGAGCCATACCCTGCTTGCCTGATTCCAGCCCATGAGGTTCAGGACTCCTCCCCGCAGTGGGGATCCTGTGCTGACAGCCCAGCCCAGCCCTGCAGGAGGGGATTGCATGGATGGCAAGTTTTTTGAGCTCATGGTGTCCTAGCCCCAGGAATATTCATGGGCCCAACTCCCTGCCTGCCACTCCCTGCATCTCTCTGACCCCTCTGCTGCCCATGTGCTCCTGGGCAACTTAAAACTTGAGCAATGCAGGGCACAGAAACACCCCCCCCTCCCGCTGCAGGAAGCAAACAGCACCTGCCAGTGGCTGGGGCCTCTTGGGCATTTTAAGCTGCCCAGGAGGAGCAGGGGAACACACGGGGGCAGGGAGTGTGGGGGTCAGCAGGCAGTGAGACTGGCAGTGTGCCTGGAATATTCCTGGTGCTGGGGCATCACAGGCCCATATAAACGTCCTGCTTTATGAACCTGGGGCCCTGGTCACGGGGGGAGGGGGGGAGGAGGGAACGTTCCCCCACAGCTCAGTCTGGGAAACAGGAAGGGGCCAGGGGGCCATGCAAGGCAATTGGGGAAAGCGCAGTCTTCCTGGGCCAGCACTGATGAGGGGGACTCAGAAATGGCTTGTGGTACGAGCACCTCCTATAGCTTGAGTGTGGAATATGAGTAGTTCTGTGCAGCTAACAGCTTCTGCTCTTGAGGCAGGGAGTTTATAAACAGAGGCAGTGTGATTACATTTAACAAGCCTTTTGTTATCTTAAATTAAGGATTCTTAGATGATCCTGAAAGATGGGAAACAGTAGAAATAAATGGTCCAGTCTCAGAATGGAGAGAAATAAATAGTGGTGTCCCCCAGGGACTTGTACTGTTCAGCATAAGCCATCTGCAAAAAGGGGTAAACGGTGAGGGGGCAAAATTTGCAGATGATAGAAAATCATTCAAGAGTTTAAGTCCAAAGCAGGCTGCAAAAAGTGATCTCACAAAACTGGGTGGTGTGAAAACAAAATGGCAGATGAAATTCAATGTTAAATGCAAAGTAGTGCACGTGGCAAAATATAATTGTAATTATAAGTACAAAATGACAGGGCCTAAACTAGCTGTTACCCATAAAAAAAATTATTCTAGAATCATTTGCTCTAGAAGCAGAGCAGTGGAAGTTTATAAGAATCCCTTTTGCTGTGCTTGTATCATTCTGAACTGCAGAATATTCATTCTCCATCTTCAGAAGACTTAAAAATATCTCCACTTATCAATGGGACAGACAGCTAAATAATGTAACTGTCCATACTGTGCATCAAGATTATATCAGGGAAATATATGTAAATGAGATGGATGACAGTTTGATCCTGAAACTATAGTCAGACATAATGTCTTTAAAGTGGGATGTTAGTGAACATAGTTGATAGGTGATTGCAATGATTTTAATATCATCATTCATAACCTATTTATGTAGTTCATAACAATAAAACAAAGATACCAATATTATTCATTCAGTAACTAGAATATGAAACGCCACCTCCAAAATCGGCAGTGTGCCGCTCCCAAACCCACACCTGTTTGAAAGCACCCTTGGCAAAAATAAATCCACATCTATGCCCAAAATCATAAACTGTCTAACCACCGTAAGATCTTGGTGGGTTTTTAAAAAATCCTTTGCCTTCTGGCTTTGGAGCCTTTAGCATGTTCCCTTTCAAGCTTTTCCTGGCCTGTGTGGCTTCAGAGACCCCTTTCAGTGAAAGCTGAGTTTCTAATAATTTGATTCCAGAAGCTGGAGCATTAAAGAAAACACCTAAAACTACAAAACTCAGTAAAAGTCACAGGATTCAGCATTCCTCTATGTTGAGGGGCACAGTGAAATCATTTAAAAAAAAACCCAAACAAACCAAAAACCACCAAACAGTTCATGTAGAACAGTGGTTCCCAAACCTTTCAGTGAAAGCTGAGTTTCTAATAATTTGATTCCAGAAGCTGGAGCATTAAAGAAAACACCTAAAACTACAAAACTCAGTAAAAGTCACAGGATTCAGCATTCCTCTATGTTGAGGGGCACAGTGAAATCATTTAAAAAAAAACCCAAACAAACCAAAAACCACCAAACAGTTCATGTAGAACAGTGGTTCCCAAACTTTTGAGAAACCCCCACGCCTCCCCCCCCCCCAGCAAAACATGTTGAAAAAAAAAAAAAAAAACTGACTGGGGCCAAAAACCAAAAATAGCAGCAAAACTTGGGTGTGTGTGTAATTGATCGGGGGGGGAGGTGCTGGGTTGTCTCGCGCCCCCCCTTCCCTCCAGGGGCACACCAACCAGTTTGGGAACCCATGATATAGAACATTCTGTATGACAGCTGTTTCCTTGTAAATCTTTTATACTAGAGTAAAAGCCAGGCTATTCTACTAAAAGATCATATATACTACTACCTGTCCAGAAACATAAAAGGCTGTGTCTAGACTGCATCCCTTTTCCGTAAAAGGGATGCAAATTAGACACATTGCAATTGAAGCGGGGATTTAAATCCCCCCTGCTTCATTTGCATAAACATGGCTGCCGCTTTTTTCCGGCTCAGAGCTTTGCCGGAAAAAAGCACCAGTCTAGATGCAGATCTTTCGAAAAATAAAGCCTTTTCCGAAAGATCCCTTATTTCTTATTTTAAGAGGAATAAGGGATCTTTCGGAAAAGGCTTTATTTTCCGAAAGATCCGTGT